AAAAAATAGATGTCGTTACAACCCACTTGGAAGGTAACACAAAAGAACACAACTTAGGTTCCACCTTTTGGAGCCACTAAGTTGGGAAAGTGCATATGATGATAAGAAAGTATTCGAATTTGATACGATCCCTAACGATTTACAATCTCAAAAGTCCCATCCATTATTCGATTGAAATTCTTTTTCTGGAAAAATGTGCATTAATTCATGTTTTTTTTGGAACAACAAAATATTTTATTAGGTTTGAGGGAGTGGACTCGCCACCCCTCTCGCCAAGCAATTTTTTAAATATAAAACACCACTCCCGATGATTCGCAAAGGGAAGCGTTAAAAAATGGTTGCCAAGTAATTAGCGAGAGGGGAAAGGAGAGAGAAAATATATTAATGGATTTTGATTGGTTTATAGTTATTGTTTTTTTTTTCTTTTTTTTTTTAAACAAACCTTATTAATTTAAAATACCATCACTCCTTATGAAATGCTAAAAAAAACATGCTAGAGAGTTGGCATAAAAAAATGATATGGCAACACAAAAAATGATGTGACGGTATGCTAAGGGTATTATCACTTCCTTCAATCTTAAAAAACTAATAAGATATTAGAAAAAAATCATGACAATAAAAAAGTGGTAGAAGCCAGATTATGAAGCCAAGAGCTCAATATTTGTTTTACTACACCTATAAGAAATCCAAATAAATGATCTATAAACAATATCATCGATAAACATGAATTTTTTAGATATAATGGTTCCAAAAACTGTTGAATTACGAAAATTTCACATGCACCAGAAAGATGTCATAACCACAACATCAAAGGTCTTTCGTTGTCCCTTTCTCAAAGCAATATAAGAGTGTGAACGAAAATCTGAGTCGGAATATGAATTCCCCACCAAATAACAATGTGCGGCCAAATCTCCGTGCACCGAGTGCAATTTCCACCAAATAGCAACTCATTAATTCATGTTATTTAATTATCTTAGTACTAAAACCATGTTTTGGTAAAAATAAAAAGATCTATTTTATTACGTAAAATAGTAAGGCATTTTAAATATGATTACAGTAAAGTTACATCTCGTTATATAGATAGAACTTTGTTATATAAATAAACTATTATCCCTAACAATAATTTTATAATATTATGATGATTTGTAATTTAATATTACTCTAAACGTATTTGGTTATATATATATATATATATATATATATATATATATATATATATATATATATATATATATATATATATATATATATATATATATATATATATAGAGAGAGAGAGAGAGAGACAGAGACAGAGACAGAGAGAGAGAGAGGTTCAGGTTCATTTGAGATCATTCTAATTTTGTGAGACCGTGAGACCAAATCTAAAAATAATTTTAAAATGCAAAATAAATGGAAAAATCCAAAAATTCTTTTTTTTAAATATTATTTTTGGAACTTGAATTAACTAAAAAAAATAAAAATAAAAAAAATCCCGTTTTTTTTTTGAAAAATACGTGAAATATTCTAAATAGAATATTACACTGACATATTCTAAAAAATAATTTTAAAATGCAAAATAAATGGAAAAATTTAAAAATTCTTTTTTTAAATATTATTTTCGGAACTTGAATTAACTAAAAAAAATAAAAAAAATTCTATTTTTTTTTAAATATGTGAAATATTCTAAATAAAATATTACACTGTACATATTCTAAAAATAATTTTAAAATGTAAAATAAATGGAAAAATCAAAAAAATTCTTTTTTTAAATATTATTTTCGGAACTTGAATTAACTAAAAAAAATTTTAAAAAAATAAAAATAAAATTAAAAAAATAAAAAAATGCGTCTCACGGTCTCACAAAATTAGGCCGTCTCACATGAACCTAACCCTATATATATATATATATATATATATATATATATATATATATATATATATATATATATATATATATATATATATATATATATATATATATATATATATATGGAAAGAAAAATATGCTTTATGCGTTAATAATATTTTGATGATTTGTAATTTAATATTACTCTAAACGTATTTGGTTATTCACATTTATATAGAAAGAAAAATATTTTTATTGTGCATTAATAATGGCATGTGCAAATTCAGTGTGCCCATTCTTCTTTTGATTTCTTAAGGCAGTTCTTTTTTTTTTTTTTTTTTTTACTGAGTAATACGATTTGACGGTAATTTTGAGAAACCAGTAGCTATAAATATATAGCATTATGCTACAACGAAAATAGCGAAGATCACATAACCTCCGCAAGAAAATATGAAAGACTTTTCATAGCAATTAGATGGGAATCATGCGCGTCCGTTGGCGCTAACTTTTTTTTTTTTGTTCTTTCAGGTTGTATATGTACTCCAACATACCATTATATTGATGAAGATATCAAGGTTGTTAGGATCGGGATCCTACCTATGATCGTTTTTGGGTTTGCAAAATCGGAATCGTAAGATCGGGATCGAGATCCTAAGATCCCACAAAATAGAATATAATTTTAATTTATAATATTAATCATAAAAAATATTTCAAACATTTAATTTTTCGTTCAAAAGTTATAAAAACTTTAAAATATTAGACATAAGTCACAATAAAAATGATAAATGGTAGATTGGTAAAGGGTAAAAGACATAAAATGGTAAAAAACATTCATTTGAAAAAAAAATTAAAGGAAGGTAGGAACGGATCGGATCTCAATCCTACGATCTTACCTGCGATCCTACCCAAAATACGATCCTTTTACGATCCGGATCGTTTTTCATACATTAGATCGTAGGATCGTACGATCCTACGATCAGGATAGCGATTTTGACAACCATGGAATATATTTTTAACATATAAAAGGATTTTGGATAGATCTTATATAGAAATTTAGGAAATAAAGTAGTTGATGAAATAATTATTGTCCATGCAATTACATATCCATGGTTAAGTGTTTTAAATAGCCATTCCATAATTTAAAAAAAAAAAAAAAAAAAAAAAAAAAAAAAAAAACCGAAGATCAGTTAAAGAAAATACAAAGTGGGTAGGTCACCAAATCAGAGAGTGCAGCCAGTATTAAAGCCCATTAAGTATCATCATCCACGAAAATCGATAAATAATTAAGCACCTGAAATACATAAATAAATAAATGTCAAGATTATTGTCCGGAAATTATTATATAAGATTGCAGTGTTGAAACTTAAAAACATTCACTCGCATTGCATTTTCCTTCTTGCTGCAAGACATCCCACCAACCTCATATATATAATAATAATAAGGTTAAAAATCATTTCTAATATATAATTATAGGAATGTACAATGTTATTTTTGGTGTTTAATGATAAGAAAATCAAGATCACCGTGTCATTATCGTGAGTTCCAGTATATACAACTTGATTTTGCTCATGATTGTGAGGTAGATCAGGGTTTGCTGAATCACTTCCAAAGCCTATTTGTAAAAAAAAATATTAATGAATATTTTATAAATATAAATTATGGAAATAAATGAATAAGTAAAAAAATTTAGTACCAAACTGAAGAACCATCCCTGGTGCATCAATGGATTTTCTGAGTTGGACTACATCCTCTGTTATAACTCCATGTCATTCCCAAAAATATTTAACTTTTATATATGTATATATATATATATATATATATATATATATATATATAGAAAGAGAGAGAGAGAGTTAGGTTCAAATGTTTTCAACAAGTATTGTGTGCCTAAATGCACCAATCACAATTTAGCAAATTATTAATTAATTTTTTTAATACATGAGGGTAATTATGTAATCTTTCATTTTAATTCCTTATTTATTCTGAATCTTATCCCTTTATATTAGGCAATGTTTTATAACTGATTTACTTATCTTTAATGTAATTTTCTCTATATAATCGATTTTAACGTCCGATCCACAAACACAGATCACAATTGTCGAATACATAACCTGCCGATCAATTTGTGTTACTTATTCGATGTTCATACTGTAAATCGGAACCAGGTATTGCTACATATTTGCAAGCATCTGTCAACGATAATCCTGATATTGTTGCAAACGTCCCCCACACACCCTTTTACTATTTTTATATATACAAATGTATTAAATCTGATAATCTTCCAGGAAAACGATGATCAAAATCTCAGGAAGGATTTGGATAATGTCAATGATCCCAAGAATCCGGTGAATCAAGTTGTGAAGAAAATAAGAAGATGTAAAACATGCTTTGGAGTTGGTCATGATAGTAGGAATTGTCCTTTCGGATTGAAGAAATCATAGAACTACAAGAACTTCATCAAATTAGTCGTTTTTAGATATTATTTAGTTTGATTTCAGTAAAATAAAAGTAATTTTTGATGAATTATATGGTATTATCAAGTTTCAGTTCAGTGTAATAAAGTGGTCGTTTGATGAATTATATGTGTCTTTCTTTAAGTATTATGGTTAAAATTAATAAGATGTTCGTGTTCTCTACTATATTTATGTGTTATATGATCATACAGGTTATCATTCCAACAGAATATCAGAGCAGATTCGAGTTAATAAAAATTATTAATGCGTGCATTGATTCGAGTTAACAAAAATTGATATGTTTTATAAGTCATATTTGCTATAGTATTCTGATAGAATTATTTCATTCCGATAACATGCAGAGTTTTTTAATGCATATTTATACAACATTCTAATAGAATAATTTCGTCAATAAAATATTCTGCAACTTTTCCTTAAAAAAAATACATAATAATATTGTTAAGTAGTTAATATAATGTATTGTTGGAATTTTTTATATTTGTAATGTGAATATAGTACCGTATGAATATTTTTTCCTTTATCATGTTTTAAAAAAAAATCAAATCGGAATCATTTATTTTTATCAATGATCCCTAATATCAAGGTTTTTAATTTGCATAGAATCTGTTTTCATCCCTATCTAGTTTGTATGACATTATTAAATATTTTAATTTTTCAACTAACAAAGCATATACAAACACTCTCGGAATTTCTTAGCAATGGGCGATCAAGAACCAAATGTCAGTAATCATATTTATGAGGAACATTATTTGGCTAGTGATGATGACAATGGAATTGAAGATTTTAATTTTCCTGATAATGATACACTATATAATGACGGATTTCAAACAAGAGAAAGCAGTAATCCTAATTTAGGTTAGTTTTTTGATATTTTGTTTAATTTTTCATTCTATTTTCAGATTCTATATTGTAACAAACATGTTAAATGTTAATATTTTCATTGCTGAACATACAGAGGATGCAAATAATGATGAAGACGAAAATCACTTTGTTGATGAAGATATAGAGGTTAATATTGATTACAGTGAAAGTACTAAATTCAATTCAGGATACTGAAGTTGTTACAGAAAAAAGTTAATGCTTTCAGAATAATATTTATATAATTCTTTCAGAATGATTATGTATTTGCTATTTTAAACAGGACAACCACATGTTACTCATGAAGATACAAAGTTTAATATTGATTTCAGTGAAGGTACTAAATTCAATTCAGTATATTTTAAGTTTTACAGAAAAAATAAAATTGTGTTAGAATAAAATTTATATAATTTGTTCAGAATAATTTTATATTTGCTATGTTTAAGCAGGACAACCACATATTACTCATGATTATGTTTCTCCTGGTGGCACCTTGTATTGGACTCCGATTGTTTTAGACGACATCAAACCAAAAGTTTCATCAAAATTTAATTCATATGGTGAAGCAGAAACAATGTATAGAAAATATGCATTAGAATTTGGTTTTGATGTCAGGTTTGGAAGAGTCCAAAAAACGAAAAATGGGATTATTACAAATAGACATCTTGTGTGCAATCGGGAAGGTAATCCGAATACTAGTAAACTAGATACTCTAGATATTCAATATAAAAAGACTCAAAGAAGGAAAGATTTATTTAGGAGGAATTGTAAAGCGAAAGTTGTTTTAGAAATAATTCTCGGTACTCTTACATATGTCGTGAGTGATTTTGTAGAGCGACATAATCATGAGTTGTTTAGCAAAGGCAATATGCACTTATCTCGTTCAAAAAGAAAACTTGATTATTCCCAATAAATTTTCATTCATAATTTGTCAAAACAAAACATTGGTCCTGTAAAAGCACATAGACTGTATAGTGCTCTTCAGGTTGGTCCTTCCGTTCGAGGTGGATTGGTTACTGATTTCAAGAATGCTAGGAGGAATCTTAATTGTTACATAGGTGGGAGGGACGCGAAATTCCTTGTTGACAAGATGAATGACAGGAAGAAAAATGTCCCATCATTTACTTTTGAGTTTAAAGTGTCGAACAAGAGATTGAATTCTTTATTCTGGGCTGACAAAACAACAAAGTATAATTACAATTCATTCGGAGACGTTGTATCACTCGATGCCACATTCAGCATGAATAAATATTTATAACCTTTAATACTTTTCAATAAGAATTTCATTATTTTCAGTTATGTAAACTAATATTTTATTTTTTAAATAGGTATGATATGGTTTTTGTTCCGTTTACCGGCATCGATAATCACAAAAAATGTGTAACATTTGGTGCTGATCTTTTAAGTAGAGAAGATGGAGTTTCTTATGAATAGTTGCTTAGAGCTTTTTTGAAAGCTTTTAGAAAACAGCCTCAATTGGTTTTATCTGATCAAGATCCAGCTTTGAAAAAAGCTATAGATAAGGTTTTCCCATTGGCACATCATAGGTTATGTATGTGGCATATAACGAAGAAGTTGCCAAATAAGGTATGCTTAAAACGAATATTATTCTTATTTTTTTGGCATGACTCTACAATTATTTTCTCATATTCTACCAGAATATTTTGTTTTAAACATAATCAATTGCATTAACTCTTAATTTTTCTTATCATTCTTCAATGATTTTTTAAAATTCTACATTCATTATCTCATATTCTACCAGAATGAATTCATTCTAACAAAATCAATGTCTGTAACTCTTACTTTTTGTTATGATTCTACAATTACCTCATATTCTGACAGAATCAATTAGTTTAACTCTTACTTTTGATATGGTTCTACAATTATTTTTCATATTCTACCTTCATGAGATCATATTCTAACAGAATGAATTTATACAGATTTTATCAATTGAAGATGCAACAACCAATCAAAAATTTCGAAAGCGTTCTCACTCTATAATTTGGAATTCTAAGCTGGAACAACATGAATTCGAGAATGTGTGGTGTCGGATGTTGGAGGAGTTTAAAATTACTGATAACACTTGGATGAATACAATGTATGGATTGCGAAAATCTTGGATCCCCACATTTTTCAAGCACATTCCAATGTCTGGTCTTATGCGAACTACATCGCTGTCTGAAAGTCAGAATTGGTCATTTCAAACCACGACATTAACCGGTTCTTATCTTGTCATGTTTATGATGACATTTGAATAAGTTATGGAACAACAACGACATAACCAAATTCTCAATGATTTTAATACTGTCACCACTTTTCCTTAATTCATTACCCGTACTCTGTATGAACCTCATGCTTCAAATGTATATACACGAAAGATTTTTTATCAGGTTCAGAAGGAGATATCAAGATCTGAAGATAATTGTTTCCAAAAGAATGTGATATCTTCCAACGGTGTTGACACGATTATTGTTATGGAGAAAACAAAGAAGATAACTATTAGGCAAACAAATGATGCCGATGTTGATGACAAAGATGAGGAATACAATTACGATTGTCTTATAAGGGATACTGAATACACAATATATTTTTTTTCACATTAATTGTCATTTTATCATTTGCATTTAAACACTAAAAATTTACAACTTAAACATTCTCACTAATCATCTTATATTTTCCACGTCACACACTCAACCAAAGATGGTTCGTTCAAATGTACTTGTATGCATTTTGAACATGTAGGTATCTTATGCAGACACATATTTTGTGTTTTTAAGTTTTATGGCATGGAACAAATTCCTGAAAAGTACATTTTGAAACGTTGGCGTAGGGATGTTATTCCAACAGAATTATTGAAAAGACGCTTCAATAATTCTTTTGACGATTCTAATTCCGACATGACTACTAATGATATTTTTTTCAACTGTTGACCGTTGTGTGTCTTTTTTGAGCCATGATGCAGCAAAGTTAAAGTTATACCTCGACGAACAGAATAAGTTGAAAAAAAAATTCGTAGACGACTGTCCAAATCATGATCTACCGACCAGAGCAGATCATTTCAAGAAGCTTTTAGGCGTGGTTGGTCCTGATGTAGAATCTGATGTTAATGACATTCAGAATCCTACAAATATTCGTAACAAAGGCTGCGGTAGTCGTGGGAAAAGATTAAAATCTACAAAAGAAATGATTGAGAAGGAAATCTCGAAACCTAAGAGAAAATGTGCTACATGTGAATAGATGGTTCATCATGACAAAAGAAATTGTCATCTAAAGAATACCCAGAAATAAGTTCCTTGTTTTTTTTTTGGTTTTATTAGAATGACATTTCATTTAATTCTTTCGGTTCACATTCATTGTTATCTTTTGTCGTTCAATAAAGTATTCACTTTGATTACTATCAACGATGACATTGTCAATCAACATAACAATATTTATCTTTTCTTATTACTTAAAAATAATCATAAAACGTAATACAAAAATTCATTCCATTGACTGTATAAATTCATCTTTTTCAAAAATGTTAATACAAAATTTCCATCGAATGTTTAATTTACAGCAACATATACAACTTCTTTCAATCATTTTAAGATTGATTTTAATGTTAACAAAAATGTTTTATTGTTTAGTGTAGTTTACAAACGATATCTGCAATTTTTATACAAGAATTCATTATATTTATATTCTATTTTCAAAATGACTATATATTACATAAACGTATTCATTCCAACAGAATTTTATATATACACATACATTTACACACACATACTTACTTTTAAAGAGGGTACATTTTAATGAAAAAAGATACTTACTTTTAAACAAGGTACAATTTAATGAAAAAAGATCCAATCGTCATCCACATCCAATTAACATAAAATTAAATCAATATAACGTATTCTACCATAATCATAACAAATGCTACATTGCATCATCATCATATAATCTGTAAAAAAACATTCTAGTCACAATAGTCACAAAACATTATTAACCACAACATTGAATTATATTAACAAGATTATTAGAAACAAAAATACATCAACACATGCATTAGTAATGTTAATTTGCATTATATGAAAACTACATTACTAACAAGAACCTTTGATTTTCACAATGCACAACATCACCATCCCAGAATTTAAACAACGCATCAACACACCCTTTATACGCAAATTAACATTCCATTATAAGATATAAGCTTAAATATGATAACATTACTTTATAACTTCTGATAGACAAACTACTTTTTCAAACATCTAACATAAGGCAGAGTCATGTTTCAACACCCAAAAAAACAAGTTCAGCTCATGACATATCAAAGTTTATCTTACAACTTATTAAATACCACTCCAAATTCTTACCTACGACCCTTTGTTTTTCTTTTTTTCTTCCTGTTTTCAGCTGACTCTCTTAGAAGCATATCTTGTTCCAAAATATCAAGCTTATGAAACGCTTCAAAATCTTTAACTGTCATAGTATTGAACTTATTGAAATCAGATGTCAACAATCTTGCCATGTATTTCATCCTTAACTTAATTGTAGCACTTACATCAGCAGGCATTTTACCTGTAAGACCACACTCCCAATGCCCTTCATTTTCCCCCATGTAAGTAACCATATGCCTCATGAGGTATATTCCACATTTTGTTCCAGCTTTTTCGACTAGCCAATATATGTTCATCACACGTCCCGCTTTAAAAGTTAACGCTTTTGCCATTGGATGATGTTGTGATGTCAAGTAGTTGCAAAACAGTTTTTTCTGTCATTAATTACAACAGATACATCAAACATACTCTTATAATATTCCTTAGAATGGAAAACTATTGATCAGAAATTTATTGATTATCTTACCACCAGGTTTGGTATCATGCCATACTTTCTTTCCAAAGTTCCTGTTCTCTTCACATGATCTACTATGTAGTACAAACTTGATCTCAGATCAAAGATGAGTAAGTAATACTTTCCATCATCAACTATTGGGAAGAAAACCTTATACACATTCAAAGAAGAGGTTAATTTAATATTAATTGATGCCACAAATATTATATTGATAAAATAAACTTACAAGTGCAACATCTCTAAAACTTGGCTTCACATCACATTTCTTAGTGTAGGTTCGCAATAAAGTAGCAAAAAGCCTACATTTCATATCTTCCGACTTTAGCTCATTCAATATATCTTCTGTCTGAAAAACCCCACCTCAACATCAATATTAATTCTACAAACATAAATTTGAATTAAAAATTATTTTACAAAATAAATTCATACCACAATAGTTGTAAAAACATTCCATGATTGAATTGATATGCAAAACCCTGGTGCAGCAAATGACCTGTTCCAATGTCCCAAATCTCATCCATGTGACAAAAATTATGTATAAAATCAATTTGAATACATTCATTTTAAAAATTATAGAAATATAATAGGTGGCACATATATAAACATATATATAAATACGGACCCATCATCTCTTTCAAATGCAAAAACTGAATTGCATATCCATGTTTCATCCTTAGTTAGTTTTTCCCCAACCTTAACAATTCTTTCAATATAGGGCGAATGAAAGACTTTTGCCTTTTTAGGAATACGTTTTTCCCTTTTGTCATTATCATCATATCCTGCAGCATTATCAACAGCTTCTCCTATATTTCTTCCTACCAAATTATCCCCACTGATTACTGACATTCGCTTTTTCTTTCTATACACCTGTAACTCAGTTTCATCCAAAAACTTAATCATTTCCTCATTCACCCCTGGAAGTCGATGAAACTGAGTCATTGTTAAAGTAGTTGTATCAACAGGTGTGGTATAATTGACTTCTTTTTCTGTATTAACTTTAGTAAGTATCAATCCTCCAACAGGTGAACTATTTCCTTCACCGCCATCACCTATATCATTCATATTTACCTCATTAAAGCAGGCAGGCTCATGCACTTTTTTGTTACCTGACCCTTCAAACACTCCTTTGAAAAGTTCATTCATTTTCTCCATCCACTCATTTAGCACCACACTATGAGGGAATTTATCCAAACCATCCTTCAACTCAACCTCCATAGTACTTTTCTCTATTAGAATTACCCCATAACTATGCTCTATAACAGCAGCATACGCCTGCAACACATATAATTAATAAATAATAACATTACAAGAATATGTACTATATATTCTATTAGAATATATCATTAACTATTAGTTTCAGAATATGTACTTCAGATTCTACCATAATATTACCTCCTCATCTCTAAAATCCCTCTTAAAGCTTAGCATTTGCTGTTCTTCAGCTCCTGTTTCATCGCCCATATCGACATCATCATGCCCATCTCCAAACTGCCCCCGAACCCTCCCAAACTGATTTCCAATCGTTGAATCTCTAACAATTTAGCACTGTTTATATGCCCAATAAAAGGAAGCCTTTTGTCTATCTTGATAGAATACTTCATGTTACACACGTACACCAACTAAAAAAAAACATTAACTTAATCAATACATCAATAATAAATCGATACGAAATATATATTTTCATATAAAACTATTTCAAACTTACAATCAGAAGTGTAATAGGACCACTGTAGTAGCTTGATTTGTCATCCCTTTTCCATAGTTTTTTTCTAGATCCCAAACAATCAAGCATATATTTACACCAATTTAACTTTGAAAAGTCTTCTACCAACACCACTTTTATTTGATTTGTTCCCATCAACATTGACTCTATGAAGTTGTTAACAAATAGGGTCAAAAAATTCAACCTAAACATCAAATTATCCTTTGTTGTAGACTGAATCCTTCTTAAATACTCCTCACCATTGAACTTATCACCACTATATTCTCCCCTCCATTCTTCTAGAATTTCATTTCCCTTATCACACAATGGTAACTCATTGATGTCTTCTCCACCAAATGGCAACCCCATCATATCATGCATTGTTTGTTCTGTTATCTCAATAACAGAGTTTTGTAGGACAAGTCTTTTACTATCTGCATCATAAACATCTAAAAGATAGTAGCTTAGTTGTCCCGGATAACTTGTAATATTCACTTGCAGAATTGATCCAAAACCCATTCTCAAGATTGCTTGTTTCTGTTCCGGCGACATTCCCATAACAGTTGCAGTGATGTTATCACATTTCATTCTGGTTGGAAGGTATCTTAAACCAGGTGGGTATTCCTTATTTGTTTTTCTAACATTATCTTCTTTTTCCTCTTTGACAGATTCAACAATTGCCTTATTTTTTAAATGTTTTACGATTGGAACTCTATCAAATTGCCTCTTCGACCTTATCTCTCCTTCCAAAAGTAGTGCATTTAAAGGTTTAGGAGTTGTCCTTTGTTCAACTGATTTATCAAGTTTTTTCTTTGACCTTCTTTCTCGGTTCACATGTTCTTCTTCATGAATTTGTTCTGATACAACACACAATAGATAGCATAATGTTTAGGATTAGATAATTTGGGATTAATGTTTTATAAATTAAGATATGCCTTATATTATAACAGATTAAAAAATTATTTCTATAACAAAACCATCATACACACAAAATACCGATTCAAACAGAATAAAACATTAACATCACACAAATATATTATAATATAACAAATTCTAACAGAATATAAAATTAAATTATTCTACAACAATCAAATATTGTTTATTCAGAATTATACCTGAATCATATTCACACTCATATGCAACATTACATTCTTTTAGAATATTACACACGTAATCTTTTCCAATATATAAGATTTTGATTGTTTCAGTTTAATTCATTAATCATCTACAAACTTTGATTCGGTTACAATTTAACATTTTTATGTTATGCTAATTAACTACTTACACGGATAAATATTCATTACAAAGTTAACTAATAAAACAAGTAGGCTAATTCTACAAGAATCAAATACATTTAATTTAGAATTCAATCAGATTCATACAATCAAATTTCACACTAATATATAATATAACATTCTATTAGAAGTGTTAAATAGTGAAACAAGTAGACTTATGCTAGCAAAATATCAACCATTTTCAGGTTCATATACACAGAACATTCTATTAGAATATGAAACATGTAAACTTATTCCCCGTAAGTTAACTATGATTTTTTCAATTGAAGTCATTAATCATCTACAAACTGTGATTCCATTACAATTAAAAATCTGTATAAAATGCTAATTAACTACTTCAATATAGAAATTTAGTGTACAATGTTAACTAGTAAAACAACTAGACTTATGCTAGCAGAATATCAGCCATGTTCATGTTTGTATACACATAAAATTCTATTAGAATATGAAACATGTAACCTTATTCCACATACAGGAACTATCAATTTTTCAGTTTCAGTCATTAATCATCTACAAACTGTGACTCCATTAGAATTAAAATTCAGTATAAAATGCTAATTAACTACTTCAATATAGAAATTCAGCTTACAATGTTAACTAGTAAAAAAAGTACACTTATGCTAGCAGAATATCACCCATGTTCAGGATCTTATACACATTACATTCTAATAGAATATGAAACACGTATACTTATTCCACATACAGGAACTATCAATTTTTCAGTTTCGGTCATTAATCATCTACAAACTGTGATTCCATTATAATTAAAATTTTGTATAAAATGCTAATTAACTACTTCAGTATAGAAATTTAGCTTACAATGTTAACTAGTAAAACAAGTACACTTATGCTATCAGAATATCAACCACGTTCAGGTTCTTATACACATTACATTCTAATAGGATATGAAACATGTATACTTATTCCACATACAAGAACTATGATTTTTTCAGTTTAAAATGCTAATTAACTACTTAAATATAGAAATTTAGATTACAATTCTACCAGAATATCAAAAATGTTTAGGTTCATACACACAGAACATTCTATTAGAATATGAAACATGTAACCTTATTCAACATACAATCACTACGATTTTTTCAGTTTTAGGTACTAGATCATATACAAACTGTGATTCCATTAGAATTTAAAACCTGTAAAAAAGCGAACTAACAACTTAAATATAGTAATTTAGTTTAAAATTTTAACCAGTAAAACAAGTATACTTATTCTATCAGAATAACAACCATGGTCACGTTCATATAAACAAAACATTCTGGCATAATAGCATACACAGTAACGATTCTTAATAAAATACGAAAAAATGACACATTTTTCTTCCAGACCACAAATCATACATGCATATAATAGATTTCAAAAACACTTCCTAAATTCTACTACATTTTTCGAACTAAATAAACATTAAATACCACAAAAAAATTGTTACCTTCAGGCTCAGCAACGAAATCTTCATTGTCGTCTTCAAGATTCAACGCCGTTTCTACTGTGTTCTTGAAATTTGACTTAAATGAACTGGATCGTGTACTCCTCATTGTTGCAGAATACCGTTAATATAAGCCCCCAAATGTCGATTCCGTCTTCTAGGGTTAAATGTCGATATTTATAAGAAAACCCTTCAAACGATCTTTCGATTTTTGAAGATTGATTACAATAAATCATAATTTTTTCAACCTCCTAAGGATTTGGGTTCTTGATTATGAGAGTAAGCGAGATATTTGGGATTATCGATTGATCATTCCATATTATCCACCGTTTCCTAATTAAATGACGGGGCAAAATACCATTCCACTCTTGTTTGACCGGTCAATTGATTAAAGCCTATTTATTTGATTTTTTTCTATTTAATTTAAAAAGAAAATCACTTTCTTAAATTACCACAAATGATTGGCCTACAATCATTTACATGGCACACAATACTTAACAAAAACAAAATAACCTAACCCTATATATATATATATATATATATATATATATATATATATATATATATATATATATATGTTTATTTTTATTTGCTATAAAGAAATGAAAATAATTCAATACCAAGTCGTCTATGTTGATCTTCCCAATAGTTCTAAAAATTGCATTGAATAAAGATCTTTCCACCTACTATCAACAAAAAAATCACTTAAAGAGTTTGTTGATAATTGATATTTGAGAAAAAAAAACTTACAACATTAGCGGTCATCCTTAAACGGTGTCTAATATCTAACGAGTTACCACTATTGTGTAGAACATAAATGGTCACATGTTCAACTCAACGAAACAACCTATTTAAAAGAGTGAATAATTACCTGTGTCCAGAAATGGTTAGTTTTCCTGACGGTTGTCATCTTTGGATAAGTACCTGTCTACACAACACCAATACTTAGTGGCTCACGTTTCTCAAATACAAAAGCACAAACAGAGAAATAAGAAGGTGGTTTTTTTATTATGATAAACTGGAAAAATCAACACCATATTTCAGAAAGGTAAAAAAGTAAGACAAAAAAACGTGAAAACTCGGAAGATATGTTTGCATCACCGACTATTCTACTTATATACCTAATCAATTAAAGGGAAATTCTAATTGGCGAGCACCACGTGTAAAAAGATTATACACCTGAAGAAATAAATCGATAAATTTATAGTTTACCTTATTTCCAAAGTATACATAGCATATTTCATAACAGTTTGAAAAGATGATTCCTGCTGTAAATAAATGAAAATTAGAATAGTAAAAAAGTTAGTGTTAGCTAAAATGTACTATACTTTTATATAAGTTGCAGGTTACGCTCTTCAAAGGAATGGAATGGTCTAATCCATTAGAACAAAGAAAAAACACATGAATAAGAGCAGTTATGAGGTACCAATCAGGAAGCGAGCTTCTTCTTCTTTACAAAAACCTTGTAAAACAAATTATGAGTCAAATTTAAGAAAAAAAAAGCTTCAATATGCAGCAAAAAGGCAGGGAAAACAGCAAAATATGACCCATAACTATGAATTGTCATCATTAACCATATGTATCTTATCCTTGCATTTCTCAACTACAAAAATCATATTCTAAACCCTTATGACTTCAGGACTATAGAATCAGCAACAGAAAATAAACCACCATCAGAATAAATATTGATATTGCAAATCTGCCACTCGCACACACACAATTGAAGATTTGGAGATCGGAGTGGAGGCCCGATTATCAGCATACCAGTTGAGTTTACCCATAGGGACACCGCCAACACAGGAAGCAAGAATCAATGACGGCTAATGACACCTTTACATCAAAATGGCCAAAACCCTCACCTTAAACCATGTAAAGAAAAGCCACTGAAAACCTATACTCACTTACCTATTGGTGGTATAATCATCAATGCCCGTACAAATGAACACTTGCTTTTGAACCGTTAAATAACACAAGATTTTATATGAATAATTACATTTTTTATAAAATTAAAACGGGTTTAGGTTGTAATCCACCACCCAACTATTCACTGTGTCCACACTTGGTCCCTAAACTTTTTAAATCAACAAAGAACATGTTATATGCAGTCATAATGGTGTATATGCAACAAATTAAAAAAGTTTAGTAAAAAATAAATCCATAGTTAGAAACTATGGACACGAAAAATAGGCAAAATAACGTATTTGAACCTAAATCTAAGTAAATATAATAAGTATTTTTCAAGTTTTCAGAATCTACCTTTCCAATAAAGATACCAGGTTTTGTCTGAGATTCACACAGCGACAAAAGAATACCAGTATTCCCTGCTAAATTAAAAAATTATCATTTTAATTTAAAGGTGTACAGATAGAAATATTACCATCTTTTTACAAAATATGTAAAAAATAACTAATATGTAAATGCTTAGTCCCTTCCTGAGTCTGTGCGCTTTCTTCAAGATAGCTACTCATGAAAATTTAGAAGTATCATCAAACCGTGTAAACTCGAAAATGGCTGAACCATGTGAGTACGCGGGGCATACTCCGAAGGTACGCTCAGCGTACGCAACCTCATATTGACTGCATTATGGGGACTCTAACCGATTATGCGGGGTGTACTCTCTTCTACGCTGGGCGTGCCCTTGCAGAGCCTAAAACTCCAACAAGTGCTTAATGGCTTAAGCACTTAAGCCCAAACTTTAGATCCGTGGTCCAAATGCACCCCAGAGTAATAAAGTCTCCAACTTTATGACTTTAAACGCCCAAAAAGTCATTAATACATGGTCTTAATCCATTAAGACCTTCTACAAGAGGCATGGAACCAAACTAGCCAAAAATAACCTCATTTTTATGACTTAGAACCCTTCTTAGGGTCTGAAAGGACAACCCAAAATGTCCAAAACCAAACATGCATAACAATCGGACTTTTCGGACAAGAAGAACATCATAAAGCTTCCAGAATGAGATCAAAGCAAACAAAACATAAAGGTAGCAAATTTTTACCTTCTGGAGCTTCCCAAGAAGGTGATGATCCAAGATCTACAAGCTTGCTTCAATTTCTAATCTTCTTGATTCAACTCCTTCTTCCTTAAGCACACAATGAACACAATTTAAGCTTAAAACACTCTCTTATGGGGTTAGGGTTTGCAAAAAAAATGACTCAAGGGATTGGAGGCTGAAAGGATGACGCTAAATGATCCATAAAGGTGCTTAAATACTCCACAAACCCTAAAAATTAGGGTTTCACTTGGACATGCGTACGCCCAGCGTACATATGTGTACGCCAAGCATACTAGGGTGTGCCCTAGTAAGCTTAGCGTACAACCCTTGCTCCCAAAATTATTGTTTTGCCACTAGGTCTCATTAGGTATGATATCACTCGGTTGGTGGTGGAAACGTCAGACGATGGGATAACTTCATGGATTATACCAAAAATCTTTCTTTCTGGTAATTGAACATGTACTTCTCCCGTACTAGATGTATTATTTATTAGACGCATTCTAAAGGCAAGATATCACTCTTACGATATCTTCCGATAGGTATCATTCACTATCGTAAGCCTTCTTATTTCCTCCATTTACTAAATTCACTATGAGTCTTCACCATGATGTTCTGCACACCAAAGCAGGCGCTCGGTGTATCAAGACGATAATATAGATAGAGGAAGATTTAGATGTGTATTCCTCCTTATTACTCCGAAAAGTTACATGCCAGTTCTAACACCGTAACTAAACATTTAGAAATCTGAACACATAAAATTTCCAGATCCAGTCGGCAACAGACCATAGATCCGATCAAACAATAGCATCAAGCATCACAAATCATTTATCACATAAAAACATTTTAGACATCTTCCCTAATTAAGCCAGTGCTTGTGTTTATTTAGGTGTATTACCTAAATTTTATTAGACACGCTCCTCATGATCATCACTTAGCATTCTAAGTTTAAGTCTAGAAATAAATCCATATTCCTAATTCGCTTAAACTAATGCTCTGATACCAACTGTGACATCCCCATTTTCACAACCAGAAAAGACCGATTTTGTTTATGCTTTATAAAAATCAGAGTACCTCTTTTAATAAAAATATTGTGGAATTTGTTCCCAGTAAAACATGATAAATACGTTATCAAAGCATTTCTGAAGAAAAGTAACTTTTTATTCATTTTAAAACATCTGGGATGTCATCGTCAATACAGAAACATAAGCATAAAAAGCTTTTACATTCATTATCACTAGTAATTTATATCTCCTTAATCTCTCAATGTAATGTGACTTCATATCAACACCGTGACATAAATAAACTGAGTTGGTCAGGTTGGGAAACCTGGTGAGTACATAAGGTTTTCAACCCACAATAATATAATCAGTATGTTTAATCATCAAACAATCAATCAACCCAATTACCCATCCCCATTATCTTATTTACTCTTAAGGATCTACCCTAAGAATCAGCTATTCCTCGTTCATTTATTCCTAAGGATTATCCTAAGGAATAGGCACGAAATCCATCGTTGCTAATGATACATTTGTCAAGCACAGCTGCTAATATTATCACTTAGGCGCAGCTGCCAAAGTATAACATTCTTCATGGGGCACATCTGCCAGTATAGTCCTTTAGGTGCATCTGCCGAGGTTATGAGGTTCTCTATTAGGCACTTCTGGCAGTAGAGTCCTTTAGGCGCATCTGTTAGGGTTTTATTGACAGTATCGTTTTCAAGAGTCCACTCGCAATACATGTCAATGGATTTTTAGAGTACACCGGTGAACACATTGTTCACAACACCTACAAGTTGTGATCCTGCTAGTGTTCCACTAGACTATCTAGAAGAGTCTGTGGTTGTCATCCATACTCTGCTAGATGATGGGGACAACATTTGGGAACAAGGCTTCTCACATCGTCCACCTCTCACCCTTACCTCATGATCTATATTACCTCTCAACTTATCATCCAACTCATATTTCATCTACCCATGTTTTACCCAACATATTATGTAAATAAAATATACATATACAGTTTGAATCATTTAAATCATGTACAAAATCGTTCAACCAACATAGACAGCAAGTATTCAGATAATATAATCACATAGCATGTAATTCATATAAATTAC